TATCTACCTATCTACCTATCTACCTATCTACCTATCTACCTATTTTAAATTTATAGCCTGCCATTTCTCCAGGAGCTCAAGGCAGTTATGTCGGGATCTCCTTTCATCTCATAAGGACAGTTTTACCTGGTTGCACCAAAATCAGCTGTTTATCAGATGAATTATACCGCTGGGAGGATGGTGATAATATTAACATTGCTAATTCTATTATTTTATTATGACTATTACTTATTATATTATGTAATGTTATTAATATAATAATTATTAATATATAAATATATCACTATATTTAATATAGTATATTTAACAATAATCCACTGAATTATTGTACCTGAGAATTTGCCTTTGATAACTGTGGGTAGAGAATGGAATGCACCCAGGAGCTTTACTCCCTGACCTCCATGAATTCAACAAACACAATTCTCTGTGCAATCAGAGACTTTGATTTATTAAGGTCTCAGATGACACCAAGATTTATTCTCACACTCAAGTGAATGCAAGTATACTTCTTTTTCAGATCACTCAGGTGATTGCATGTAGAAGAGCTGCACATATAGCCTTATCCTCTATTTAATTTAAATCTCTTACATATTCAGGCAAAATCTTGAAGAGAGATTTCATTCCCAAGATTTCCTATGCCAAATTTAGAACAAGAAAATGTATCAGGTATTAGAAAAGTATTGAATCGATGATGTAAAAAAAATTTTTTTTTTTTTGATAAAGCAGCTCAGCTCTAAATCTGGACTTTCAAATATAAGTTTTGTGTTTTCATATTTTGAAATTCTGTTTTACCCTTATCTATTTTTATTCATCTGCTGATTGTTTTATAATTTGTTAATTCTGGGGTTGGGGGGCAGTTTTTGTAATATGTTATGAAAGGCCAAATGATTCTTTGGTTTGCTGAAATTTAAAGTTCATTTTCTGTAAATGTAAAATTTTAATTGGAAAAATTAAAAGGCGGGCTCAACACCCCCCCCCCACACACACAAACCAGAGAGAGAATAGATTCAAAACAGTTTGAACAGTTTCAGTCCTAGTGTTGTGATAATGTTGATTGTGTTGTTTGTAGGCTGGAAAGACAAAGCAACAACCAATCCCCAAAAAGGTATTTTTAAGTAACTGTTGAAAGGGTTTCAACACACGCTGTCAGATTACATTTATGGAGGTAATTCAAAAGTTCATAAGGAATCCAAATCCTAATGAGAGAGCATGTTCTCTAAAGTTCAAGCTGTTAAAACCTGCTCTTTAAATAAAGTGCCAATCTTCAGGTGTGACACTTGATGTATTGCTCCTTACCACAACGATGAAGAGTACTAGAGGGAGCTGATTGTGCAGGCTGAAGAGCCGCTGTGAGTCCTCTCTATACGTAAGACAAAAAAGAATCCAGCTATTGTTCCAACAAGCACTG